ATTTACCGCACGGTGAAAATTTACCGCACGGTGTTATGATTAGCAACCATAGGGTTTTGAAAAAATACTATAATAACCTACTTTTAGGCATCGAAAATCAGGATGAGTTTGTATCAGAAATCAAGAAAAACAATCAAAGACCATACGATCAATGATAAGGAAAACTACTGAGTGACAACATTTACGAGAAATTATACGAAGTTTAGGTTTAGATATCCATAAAGGATTTTCGAATCAGATTCCCAAACCACAGTTTGAGAAACGTTTAGCAAAGATGTATGGCACGAAAAAAGTCTAAGAAAATATTTTCAAGAAACCATATTATCAGAACTTCAGAGGGAACCACCAACAGAAAACTGAATCAGATCATCATCATGTAGAAAGAATATCCAGAATTACAAACTAAAAAAAAAAAACAAGTGAATTCAGAATAGAGAAGACAAAATTCAAAAAACCTAATTAGATCATCATCATTGGTAAACATCAGCTATGCAAATCGAAGTAATCCAGATTGGTGAATATGACTGAAACCATTATACACATATGATCAGCGAGAGGGACTATCAAAGAAAAAACAAACTCATCCTCAAGACGCAATCAACAAGGCGAAAAAAACTCGGCCACAGCGCCCTCGCACTCCAGATGCCCTCGTGACGAAAAACGCAGCTGCCGCCGATACCGCTTGGCCCTTCTTCAAAAACCTCGGACTCGATGTCACCTCCAATCCTCCTCCCACTCCACGTGAGTACACGCTCCTCCCTTTCAGCCTGCATCAGCCGACCATCCTCCACAAAACTGCGCAGGCAGAGAAGCAAAGGCAACCAATATGCCAAGAATCTCATGAAGACCCCCCCCCTTTCAAAGGCAGACTTCCCTTCATCCAGCGTTCTGGCCTGCAGCATCACTAGGTGAAGCGTGAAGCCGGAGATGGCACCACCTGTGCTTTCAAAAGGCAGGCCACACCAAGTCGCGCCACATCATCTCTACCCTCCCGCTATCATGTCTCGCGCCCACCGCCCCCACCCGCCCACCGCGTCGCCAGACTCTCTGTTAGCTCCTGCGTCGCACCGCGTCCGCTCCGATGGTGCTCCAGCGGGGGCGCAACGCTCCTGGTCGCGCTGCGCCCCCCGAGCAACTACACCTTCTCGTTCGAGCCAGTCCGCAAAAGAAAAACTTACGTTTATGTGTAGTTAACGCCTATTCCTTTTTTCCACTCAACCCATAACTATTTTTCACATGAACAAGCTAGCGTCGAGTACGAGGCGTTGAATAAATGATGAGGCAACGTGAACCTCATCATATCGACTAGCCATGCATAGCAATGCGAGCAGTCGGAGCGATGACATACTATGTGGTACCCATAACTATATGACCTCCTTTGAAATATGGGATCGCAATCGACGCTCAGGTGTCGGTTGACGAGTACCCACCGTCCACCCGGTACCAGCACCTCCTTCCACTAAAGCAGAACTTAGAAGAAGTAATAATGATGGTGGTAATAACCAAAAACTGATATTGTTTAATCGTGGAAAGGCCATATCAGGCGCTCCAATTAAAATAGGAACAAACCAGTTTCCAAACCCACCTATAAGAGCATGCATTACCATAAAGAGTAGGATAAGATAAGAATGAAAGATAAGATAAGAAGTAAGCACTGCATGAATAATGTGAGGTCAAGGGGTCGGTCCCTTAGTGGGCGCAAAAGCAGACCGAACACTCCGCCATCTTCTGCACCCTATTGTGCCTCTAGTGGGACAGGGTAAGATGGCGCTGAGGGCATGGGAATTAAGGTAGTGGTGAGTTGTCTGACACACCACACGCAACTCGCTAACCCTTCTACCCGGAACTCTATCGTTCCAGCAAGATAAGATTGACAAGCAAACTTAAGGGATTCCCTCTTTCTCTCGACCCAATTCATTCAATCCTCGCACATGGTCAATCAAGTCGTGCGAGTGCACAATGCATAACCATAGTGAATCATTGAACATGAGGCGATCACTCTTACAATCACAGTGTGATTTCCTTCCAATTTTGTAAGCGACCATAGGCAAAGATTAATCCAAATTGCACACATACCTGCGGTCCCATAAAAGTTCGACATAGACAGATCACGCACCAAAAGGGTCAACTTTTACCACTCTCTACACTCGCACACACCCCTTGCCTTATTCACACAGGCCCCAACCTTTGTCCAACCTTCCCAAGAAGAAAACACTCTGTCCTTTTTAAATGACCATTTAAATAAAGTCCGGGTAAAACCCAATGAAACAGATCAACCCAGAAGGGCTAAGGCCTTAGGTTGAGTTGCGAGAATGGATTGAAGTTGAGTCATAAACGATTTGATAACAGAGGAAGTTGGTCCTTGTAGAATTAGGCTGACACTAGTCAAGCCTTGAGTCAAATCGAATGAAACGGACCTAGTAGACAGCACAGACCAGTATCCAAAGCTACACTTACGCGTATAGAGGGTGAACCTCATATCATCTAGGCTACCAGAGTGGCCCGGGACCATTTTCCCGGCCGGGCCAAAAAAAAAAAAAACCTATTTTTTTATTTTTTATTTTATTTGAAATTTGGTAAAGAATTTCGATGTAACCTTGGGGCAAAAGTTGTTCAGTTTATTTTTCTGCATAAAATGTTTATTTTATTTTTTTTGCTGGGACCTTCCCTGGTCCTTGCATGGCCGGACCACCTGGGAAAACAGGGTGACCCAGGCGGACCAGCTGGTAGTCTAGCATATCACCCTTTCTTTTTTCTTTTTTCTTTTTTAATTTGGACCATTTTTCGATTTATGAGTGTCGTCCTTGCACAGGGGCCATGCTTATCTTCTCTGTATCGTTCCAATTTTAACAAACCTCATATCACCCCTTACTCGAACCTTTATTGAACTAACCCTCGACTCATCTCTGGTCAGCACCAGAAATAAATGAAAATTTTGGCACCATCCCCCTGAGCCAGCCTCCTAACACTGATGTCACAAAGAGCACTCGCTGTAACATAAACTGTTGCTGCCGTTACCAACAGCGCCCACTATGACCAGCACTGCTGCTGCGACGACATCTGCGTGCTTTTGTCATTTTCTTCTTGCTTTCACAACTGATCAATATTCACTTGTATTCAAACATTTTGTACGGGCAGAAAACGGCAAAAGGGCGGAGTGGGACCCTCCAGCCTTTGGCAAACACTTTTGTTGTGTATGTAACGTATCCGACCCCATACGCGTCCATGCGTGAAAAAGCGCTGCTGTGAGGAGGGCCTAAGCTGCGACCGTTATGTACTTGTGTTCGAACATGTGCCGCCACACTTCCCAATGCTCGTTCCCTGCACAAAGGGGGGCCGGGCTCTAGTCGTGCCAATGGTTTGTCATGGGCCCGGCGGCTGCATCAGTCAACGGACCAACGGATAGCCGGAAAAGAGCAAACCCAGCCCCTCAACACCATCATCATTACGATTACTGTGGAAATCGGTGCCATATAGATATAGATAGATAATATAGATATAGATATAGATTTCATACACTACAGTTAGCAAGGGTTATTGGCGTTCAATTTATGATACGGCTTAAATGATTAAAATCCCTTGCCTCACAAATTCACCTGGTCCACCACCTCCCCTACTGTCATATAGTAGTCCATTAGGTCCTTTGAGAATAATTCCCAAAAGGATTCCCTAACTTTCATGGGAATGAGTGGATTCCAGGTGTTTCTCGTCCTCGATGTGAAGGAGGGCAGTCCAGATCTCTCTCTTTGAGATAGTAGCTCTTCCTACTCCTCTCAGTGTTCAGGAGAGAAGCTTTTGGCTAGGGGACCGTGGTTGGTTAAACTGATCCCAGCAAAAACTCACGAAAAAAGATAAGGCTGTTCACATTGCACTTGGCAAGTCCACAGTGGTTGCGACATGGAAAACGAAAAGACGAAAGTTCGAAGGTCTCGAGACCACTTGCGAACAGTCAGGTGTAGGCTGATATTGATGCTGCCCAGAGTGTGGCATGGTGGACTGCTGATGCAAAGTTCCAGGGCATGGTCGCACAAGGAGATTCTTGGATGAATTTGGCTGCAATCATGGCCATATACTCAATCAGAAGCAATGATGTGTGAGAGTGCCCTCATCTATATGGTTGGGATTTTGTCCTCCATCCATAGTGAACTTGACTGGATCAGTGGTCTGGAGAGTTGTGTGTTCCCATTGTTATGGGTTTTTGTGGTGTATCTGAGATTGGCCCTTTCCTATGTGTACTTTTCATGATATGGTCTACATACAGATAAGTAACTGACACCACTTGATTTCCCATTGCAGGCGTATTGCTGAAGGTGAAGGGGTCAAGCCACTGTTATCTCTCAAATGTGTTTTTCCATTGACTAGCAGCATATCGTTGGAGATGTTGGGGGCAACTATGTGAAGCTATCTTCATGCCTACGTTGTGGATAGGTTCTCTACATGAAGCTCACTATCCCGATGCCTCCTTTGCACACAGGTTCTCTACATGACGCTCACTTTTCAAGTGCACTTGTTCAGTGTTTTCAGGCATACCTTGTATTCGCCAGGTATCACGGGATAGGAAAGACGCCTTAGCAGTGCATTTCTGTGTAGCAACTATCAGACAGACGTTCCGACACAGAGCAGAGGGTGCTTGGGTCGGGGGAAGAGAGAGAGAGACAGAGAGAGAGACAGAGAGAGAGAGAGAGAG